TTGCGCCTGTTACTCGCTATTGCTGGTCTTTTTCGCAACAGCTCATCATTCAATTTGTTCAATTGACATTTGTAGACATCGGCAGTAACAGTTTCGTTTGGTTTCAGCAGTTCGTAGTACAGCACTCCTTGCTGATCCCACCAAATGCAAAGCATTACCTTATGACCGTGGATGTTCCGTTTTGGCTGCGATGTTGATGGTTGTCCTGGGTCTACCCATGATTTTTTGCGTTTGGGATTGTCGTAGTAGATCCACTTTTCATCGCCAGTCACAATACGCCACAGAAAACTCTTCTTTTTTTGCCTGGCAAGCAACGAAACCGTGATATTGAAACGGTTGTGAATGGCACTTTCAGACAATTCATGTGGTACCCATCTTCCTTCCTTTTGGATCTTTCCCATGGCGTGTAAACGTTTGGAAACAGCTGCTTCAGTAACTCCTAGCTCGTTTCCAAGTTCTTGTAACGTTCGAGCCGAGTTTTCATGCAATAATGCTAGCAATTCATCGTCTTGGAATTTTTTTGGCTGTCCTGAGCGTGGTTTGTCATTGACATCAAAATCATTACTTTTGAATCGTCTATACCACTCTTTACATGTTGTATGTGATGGAGCTCGATCACCATAACCTTCTTCAAGTAATCGATGAACTTCTGCTACACTTTTTTTCAAATCAAAATAGTGCAAAAGCACATGTCGAAAAAACACTTTATCGCGTTCCATTTTTCACAAAGCAAAAGAAATTGTTGTTTAGGAAAATAATTGTGTATGCTGACTGAATGTTATCGAGAAATGTCGAAATTAATCACAAACTACCTGTTTCGTTAGTAATGACTACTAGAACTGTTTGCATTGCCATCTAACATTTGCGGGCGGAAACTAAGTTAAGGTCCTAATAATATCTAAAATAATATCTAATATTTAAAATAAATTGCAAATTATATAGAAAGCTCACATATTAGATAACATATTCTTCAAAACAATATTCGTAAACTGCATTTATGCGTAGAACATACTTCTCTAAAAAAAACTCTTTGATTCACCCAGTACACAAGCAGTTTGAAGAATTCATCAGAAAAGCAACGAAAGCCTATTTCGGAGAGAATGCGAATATCGGCGGGACGGAATAACGTGGTATTCACATTTATGTAACGTCTATGTGTAAGAAAATTGAAATGACAACGTAGCACGCACACTTGCATTCGTATATCTATATGTAGAAATAATGCATATATGAAAAAAAGAAAATAGCGGCATTATGTCAGCGCCTATTTGACGATCGTCTTTACTTGATAAATATCTATATGTATCTATATATACATGTATCTATATATATACTATATATATATACTATATATATACTATATATATACATGTATCTATATATACATGTATCATATATGTATCTATATGTATCTATATATACATGAAATCAGTAACATCGATAGATAATGATAACGTTTTCTACTTTTTGACGATCGCCTCTACGTTATCGACGCTTAGCGAGTTCGTCATCCACTTCAGCATCCCCTTAAGATAAATTGTAAGAACAATTAGCATTAAGTATATTTGAATTATAATTTTATGTTGTATATAGACTCGACTTTAGTGTAGCGAAGTGTGACTTTCAGAAATTTTTATATCTGCAACATATTTGGTTCGAACTGGAAAATTGCAACTCATTTGACATGAATATTTTGTTCCTGATCTAAATATATGATTTAGATATATAGCGTACAATTATAAGTTTTTTATACTATATATTCATCTTTTGATTCAATCTTGAAGGTATGTGTTTTATTTATGTTGTCGATACACAGCGAATGATGATTTTTATGCTGCGCAAGATATAAACTCATTTGAAATTATATTACTTTTTTCTTGAAATTCTATTTTACTATTTTACTATTGCATTCAAATTGGAAGTATGAACAAAAATTAAGTAGTGAGCAAAAGATTAGATTTCTTCACAAATTGTTTAAAAAATTAGATTTCAGCAGTAGTATAATGAGATTTTTAACAATTCTTATAATAATCATTAGTATAGTTCTAATTGAAATGGTATAATGTATTTATACATTGACATTTAATTCATATATGTTATGTGCAGTTATAAGCCTGTCAATTTAGGCATTCTTATTTTGATTCTGGAAAGTGTATGATTAAAATAAGTAATTAAAGCAGGATAAGAAATAATATAACTAGAAATCACATATCGCTACCATTGTAATCTAATATTTCAAAATATTTTTAATGTTTATTCTGTCCACAATAAGAATATGATAATGTAATACAAACGTAATACTCTAATAGCATCCTAGGAGTTTCATATAGATCTTCATAATATACAATACAAGTAATCCATTTGCTATTCAACATAGATTGTTAATAAGATGCATTAGAAACACATCAAAATAAGAATCTATACTATGATAGATAATTGCACAAAATGTATTCACGTGATGAATAAAATATTCATACAAAAAAAAATGACATCCTCCCAACTAGAAGCAAAGATATATTCAGGATGAGAATTGCTAGAAGTCTTATTACATTATTGCTGAAACATAATTTTTTTAAATGTCTGCTGAATATTTAATATTTGTTCAAATTTTTACTTCAAATATAGCATAATAGAACTGCAATAAGAAAACATTAACATTATTGCAAGTTGGTTTGAATATTGCTTAGTATAATAGTCATCATACACCATGTATCAAAAAGAGTAAACGACAGTAAAAACAGTAATAAGACACATAATTTCAGGAATAAAATTATAAACCTATAGTATAAGAGATTTACAATTATACACTATATATCAAATCATCATGAATAAAATATTCATGCACAAATGCGTTGCAATTTTCCAATTTGAACCAACTTGTATGTAAATGTATCGCTAAAAGTTACATTTTTCTAAACTGAAACCTGTGTATAATATATAATTACAATTTAAATGTATTTAATATTAATCGCTTTTGGGATACATATTAACGACAAGAAAATATGCATTCTATATAAAATCTGACATAGTAAAAGTTGACAAGTCCATAACATTATACAAGATTTTGATGGCAAAGACAATAATAATAAACACTGGCCCAAAAAAATCTCGTATTTTGTAAATGGATTTACTCCAGATGTTAGATTAGAGCTAAACATTTTTATAAATTTAATTATTCCTTTATAATGTCTTTTTATTCTTTTAAGATTTTTATT